GCCATAACCTCACTTCACATGGACAGAAAGGACATCAGGGAATGGGCATTGGAATTGAAAAAATTGGCTATGGCACACCATGCTGATCACATTGCATCTGAAAAATCAGGTTTTATCATGGATGCTGCAATTTACTTGAAGCTGCACCTTGAAGTGGGCTCCAACATTTCCACCAGTGAATCTGTACAGCAGACTGCATTTCTTGACACAAATTCAGAGCAGGATTATGCTTTGGATGATGGTTGGCTGGACAATGTGGGAGATGAGTTGCCCACTTCAGGTGGAACCCTGGCAGGGCTGCAGGACAAATTGCCACTTCCATCCACTCTTGGCATTGACACATGTTGAGCTTGAGGGCTTCAAAATCTTGCAGAAATGGAGCTGAAGCTTTGCACAGGCCAAGCTAATGATGCACTACATGGCCTCCATCTTACATTGGCAGACAAGGTGGCTGTCTTTCAGGGGGTGGTGCACACAGCTAAGAGCTATTCTACAAAAACTTGGGCCTGGGATATGATCTGTGCTATCAATGTCTCAGTAAAAAAACAGGCCACAATTTATGATTGATGCAGAGATGCCATGGTTGCACTTGGTGCAGATGCAGATATCTTAGGACATTATCAAGAGCTTCATAAAGAGGACCTGGCTGTGCAGACAGTGGCCTTATCCCAAAATGCACAGGAGCACTGTGGAACCCATCTTCCATGGTTTTGGTTGATCAATGTCCCATGGGACACAGAATCAAAGAGTTGGATGTCTGAATGTATGTTGACCTTACTTTTCAAAAGTGCTTCAAGGTTGATGAACTTTCTTCAATTAGTTTATCACATTCATTGGCTGTGAGCAAAATCTGTCAAAGATCACTGGGAAGAAGAGGAAGAGTTCATAATATCAGAATTTCAATGGGCTATAAGTTTCTTGAGATTTCAAGCAAAAGAATGGCATAAGATACAGATGGGAAGCAGCACTATTGGAGCTCCTGGGGTGCAGTGTTATGCAGCAAGGCAGAGGATGATGTATTCAAGGTTGGCCAAGCATGCCAAACACAAATGGCAGGCCATGAATGCAACTGATATTCAGTTTGTCCTGGAGAAAGATTTGTAGTTAAATGTTAGCTCAATGTGAACCTGCAGTTTCTGTCCCCCACCCTTGCATTCCACCCTGCAGCTGATGGGTGGGTCAGTGGGTACTTCGCAGAAGATGTCCAGTGGCAATCTGGCCCATTCATTCACCTCTTGAATGTTTTATTTCCATTGTGGATATGTCTGGTATGACATGAGTATGTATATTGTCCCCCGCCCTTGCATTCCACCCTGTAGCTGATGGGTGGGTCAGCAGGTACTTCACAGGAGATGTCCAGTGGCAAGCTAGCCCATTCATTCACCTTTTGCATGTTTTATTTCCATTGTGGATATGTCTGGTATGACATGAGTATGTATATCATTTGTCTTGAAAGGCTCATGTGCCCACTGGCTGAGATGAACAGCAACAAACCATTGTTGGGAAACAGAATATTTATTGCTCACTGCAGAGGGTGAATTGGGCATTAGTGACTGGCTGAATGCCCTTGGTTGTATTTCCATCTGCTGAGAAATATTTATCTGCTCATTTGCCAAGCTTCTGCCTATTGAAATACATTCACTCCTGCAATAGCAGAATGCAATGTTTTCCCTGAATTGAACCTTGCAAATCTCACACTCTGCTCATTTGCACATGTCCCACCTGTGGGTATACCTTGGATCCTATGTTAGCACAATGAGAATATTGCTTTGCATTTGCATCCAATGACCAATTGCTCTCAGCCTTGCATCTCACACAGTCTGCTCAATTTGAAGGGTTCCATCTATCAGGTTGCATCAGCTCTGGTTTTAGCAGAATGAGACCATCCCACTATCTCATTTTTTAAGTTTCAAGTTAACTATTCTACATCACAAAGCCAGGAATTTGCTAAGCTTCTGCCTATCAGGATACATCAGCAGTTGTTTTAGTAGAATGAGATTATCCTTTGCAATTCTGTTGGCTGTCCAGCCATTGTCTTTTTCTCACTCAAAGTAAATGTTGAGTATATGATGCAGCCACAGTGGTCAATTAAAATGTGAAATATAAAAATACATTGTATGTACTGCAGAGGAGTAAAATGATACATGGCCTCATTTACCCTGCTGTCCTATCTGCCCTTGTCTCATCTGCCAGAGGCCCTAAGAGATTGATGAGATTGTCACCCAATGGTTGTCCATATACCCAAATATGAAGAGCTTCCAGCTTGCAAGCCATCCTGTCCAGCATCTGCATGGTTTTATCATGTTGTACTTGGAAATCATACATTTGATCCTCATAGTATTGGTGGTGGGCCTCGGCATTGCAGAGTCAACATCCCAAATCTTCAATTCACTCTTCAATTGTGTTGGACATGTGTGACAGTGTGCTGGGAGTTGCAGCAGTTGTGAGTTGGATGGGTGCCACTGTTGTCAATGGGCAGGTGTCTGCTTTGAATACAAGGGTTAACTGCAATAATTAGTGTAAATATGGAGTGATTAAACATACCTGCTACCATAGATTCCTCTACCTCCTGCACAATGGATGGGCCAGCCTTGACAATTGAATCTGCTTGTACAGCAGCTGGGATTGGGCAGGAATCCCTGCATTTGAATGCAGGAATACAAATCTCTGAATAAAATTTGAGTCAGCATAAATGCATAAAATTGTGAACATACTGAGTGAAGATCCCTCAGGGATTGTCTCTCCCTGGTTGGAGGGCCCAACCCCAGCATTGATGGCTTTGGAAGCCATGGAAATGTGTTGCTTTTGGGGATGTTCCTTTGGGCTTTGGGATTCTTGGGCCTCCATTGTTGGGGACAGACTTTGTGCTCACTCTTTTCCCCTGGCTCACAATGGATTCCATTGAGTTGGAGTGGCAATCCCACCTTTGGCATGGCTACATCAAATCTTGTGACTGTTGCACAGGAAGCAGGACTTCCCAGGGTTCCTGTAGCATCAGACCTTGTGTCTGCAGCATGACAGGCAGGAATGGGGGTCAGGGGAAGGTGTCCTTCTGGCAGCTATTGCAGTGTGACTGTATAGTCTGTCCAATGGTGGATGAGGCTTGCATTTCAATTGGCCTTGAGTGGGAACATTGTCTTCATCATCAGTTTCCACTGTTGCCTTCCTAGAGCAGGATCGACATCTGGATTGATGGGACATTGTTTTCATGGCAGCTTTGCACTTCTGCCTGCCTTGTGCTGGTTCTTCCTCATCATCCTCCTTCTCTGGCACCTCATCTTCACCCTCATCATCCACCTCCATCCTGTGCAAGCTCTCCACTATCATTTGCTCCACCTCTGCCTTGGTCACTTTCTGTTTTCCTTTGTCACTCATAGGCATTTCAGTCTCTTGAGCAGGTGGTGTTGGTGTTGGCACCACATGGGGCATAGGGAGGCCCAACCAGTGGTAGTCACATTGATGCTTGACAATGTTGAGCCACTTGTGGTTGGCAATGTCAGTTTTGGAAGGGGATAGGGTGGTCTTCCACTCAGGCCATGGGTGCTTGATTGAGCTGAGGTCTTCATGCCACTTTAAGAATGTGTTGATGCCAATGAGGGTCATCAGAATCTCATCTGTCCTAGCGATGGGGTTGTGTACAGCATCCTGAATACATCAGTTAGTGAAAAAGTGTGATGAGGCTATGATGCACTAGTTCATTGTTCATTGCCTTGATGGCACCTCTCCACTTCACAATCTTGTCCACCTTTCCCAGCTTGCTGCTTTCCACAATATCCTTAAAGTAAATTTGAAGTATGCAGTTGGCCACAGCATTGAGCTCAGGCAATTTCTTGAAGAGCTTGTGAGACAACAATGATTACATGTTTCTGATGATGAGACAAGGGAGTACTTTGATGGTGAGACTGGTGATGGTGATTGGAGAGTGGAAGAGTCAGAGGTTAAAGATGGACTATGAGATACATGGATGTCACATTTTTTATCCCACCTATGAATGATTCCCATGGCATGACAGCAATACTGGTACAAGTCCATAATCCTGAATGCATATATAAGCAGAGACTCAGATAAAAATATTATGTGTTGTTCTGGAATAGCATTGCCATTTGTTTTGTGTGTTTCCTGTCTGCTCCAATGGTGGAGTCCTGGCTTGCAGCTACATAGACCAGCACCTGAGATTCCAACTGAATGGGCAAATCGTCCAATGTGAAACACAATTTATAGTGGGAAATTCAGATACTCTATAGTGCAAGAGGTTCCACTTTCTTCATTTCTTGTCTTCCTGGGCCCATCTTATATTGTGACAGGGGGATAAGCCAATTATGGATAGGCCCATCCATTTGTGGTGAGCTATCTATGATATGACGGATTGGCCTGTCTTATGCAGTGCCAAGGGTTTGTAATCCTGCAATGGATGGATTGGCCTGTCTTATGTTGTAACACTGGTTTTTGTTTTCCCTTATCTGCTGCCTGAGAATACCATACATGGACTTGTCCTTATGTTGTGACAGGGGTGCATCTTGCTAGATGGGCCTGTTCATTTGTTGTGACAAGATACATGATACTACTGAAGGGCCTGTCCTTATGTTGTGACACTATTGGATGATATTACTGATGGGCCCATCCATATGTTGTGACAATATAAACAATATTACTGAAGGGCCTGTCTTTATGTTTCAACAGGGTACATCTTACTGGGGCCAGGCCCACCCATATGTTGTGACAATATAAATAATACTAATGCAAGCCTTGTCAGTGTGTAGGACTTGTGCACATGCATCCTTGACATGCAGAGGGGTCACGTGACTTGGCTTAATCAACATTGCTGGACTTTCCACACAAGTCCCAATACCAAGTGTGCACATCAATACTCTTGACAAACTCTTGAATAAAACATATTTTTCTGGCACTGCACAGTCATGGAACATTTCGAGCATGAGGTCATCTATCCTCTCCATGTGCTTCAACGTTTCGACTTGCAAAAACTCTTCTGGTGGCTTCCTTCATGTGACAAGCCTCGATGGCTTCTCAATCTCGATTCTCTCCACTATAACTTTCATCTTGACCTGTTCCATACCATGCCATGTCCTGTGCAAGTTAGTATTCCCTTCATATATTGACTTATCTGCCTCACAACTGCTTGCAAGCACTTCGAGTGCCTCATCTTCAACTCTCATGGACTTCATGTGTTCTTCAAGTCTTTCCACTTCAAACTTGAGTGGTATCTTTGATATGAGTGACTCATCTGCCAACTGTTGCATCTCTTTGCTGACTGAGGGAGCTTTGATGGTGTCTTCTTTAAGACTTCAATATCTTAATTCAAAAGTATCAGCAGCTAGTTGAGAATTTTGGTGAGAACAAAATGAAAAACTCCTTTGAGCACCATTGCTCGTCTTGAATTTGAATGGCAACTTTGTCATGAGTGGTTCTTCCACTACTACTGGTTTGACCCACTTGAGCTTTGCTGCTTCCTGTAATTCCATAGTCAGTTGTTCATTCATACTCAAGGAAAATTCCTTTGTCTCAAAACCTGGCATTTCTGCCATCTCATCAAGGTTGCCTGGGCTTGGGCCTTTGCTCTTTGTCTTCTCAGATGGACTCTGTGGCTGTGCGTGACTTGTCAACACTGTCATTGGCACTTGCTTGCACTCCATGTACTCTAGTAATTCCATAGATCCCTGCATATCAGTTGTCAGTGAGTTGTGTGTAGAAGTAACTGGAAAACACTTTGTAGGCCCTTGCCACCTGTCTGAACTAGGTCCCTGTCTGTTCTGTGGTCCATAGTAGTCTTCTGCACTCATTCATGCTCGCTCTGAGTGAAATTCCTTCCAAAGTAGTCTTATAGCTGTGAATGCTACTTGTTGCATGGGCCATGGGTTGTCAGAGTGTCACTGTTGATCATTGTTTTGCATTTTCCGAACAATTTTGTGCCAGAACTCTTTATTGAAGCCTTGCAAATAGAGGTCTTCAAGCTCATCGGCCTCGAGTTGCCTCGAAGCCCATAGATATGTTGCTAAATCGAGAAAATAAAGCCTGTAATTTGTTAGTTCCTCCTCTGTATGAATTTCTCTCTTTGCTCAGCTGCCAACAAGACTGTAAAGGTCATCCTTCAAATGCTGCCAATCCAATTTCCAGGACCCAGGATACAAACAGGTGATGGCCACCATGAATTCAGGCCAATTCAACTGATCTTCAACAAACTCATACCATGAGTTGGAGACTTTGCTGCCTGCATACCAGCAAGCCCATTTTGCCCATTCTTTGTCATCAAAGCAATTCTTGTGCTTGCAAAGACTTTGAACCCCTTCAAAATACCTAAAAAGGTCAGATGCTTGTCCTGAGAACCATGGTGCACCACTCAAATGCCTTGGTGGCATTCCCTCAAGCTCTCTTGGCACATTCTCATGGCTTCTTCACAGACATTTGACTATTAATTTCCCTTCAGATTTGTTTCTTGACTTGAGGGATCTTTGGCTTAGATGCTTGCTCAACATTTGCTGCTCAAAAATAGCTCTGAAAATTTCCTAAATTCCTGAGTGTAGACTGTAACTAGAATCAAAACCCTGAATACTTAGTATGTCCAACCCAATCCAGAAAAATTTTTGTGCAGTGATAAAGAGGTGCTTCTTTCCCCAAAACAAACAGAACCCCCCTTGTGGTGGGCTCCAGATGTAGGAATAGGTAATAGACAGTACCTAGAATTAGTAATTATCAGTAGATAGGTGAGTATACTGCTTGACCCAAAAGGGAGATTCTGTTTCAGAGAAAAGAAGTGTAGTAAAAGTGTAAAAAAAGTGAACTGGAAAGACTACTTAGTTCTACTTGTTCAATACCTCTTGCCAGTCCTCCTGGCCCTTTGGGTACTCCCCAAAGTAATAATTCTAACTTCAGAAACTTGCCAAAATGTGAGATGAAATCACCCTGCTACTGAGGGCCTCTGACATGAACTGGGTGTGGTAAACTGAACTCGTGCGAACACAGCACACATGCTTAGTCAGCAATGTGGCTGCTCGCCACCGAGTCCAGTGGTACAAACACAAAAGCAAAAGCAAGAAACAAAAACACAAGTCCACCAACCCCTATTTTCTTCTGACTGAGATGACTTCTCCTAGGGAACTCAAACCCATTCCCTACACCACTCTTGCTGGTTTTGCATAGTAAAGAAAGATGGAAAGTCTCTTCACCTTGTACATGACTTACAGCCCCTGAATGCAGTGACCATCTGTGACACATCTGTCCCACCTTTCATAGAACATCTTGCAGAATCCTTTGCTGGATATGCTGTATATGTGATGATGGATCTCTACTCTGGGTATGACCAGCATGCACTTCACATTGATTCCCACAACCTCACCACCTTTGGTACCCCACTCAGACCACATTGGCTTACTACTCTGCTGCAAGGTCATGTGAATGCAGTCCAGGTATACCAGGGAGATACCACATTCATGCTTCAGGATGAGATCCTGCATCATACCTTACCCTTCATAGATGATGTCCCTGTAAAATCCAAGACCACTGGCTATCAGCATGCAGACAGTTCCTATGAGACTATCCCAGAGAACCCTGGGATTCAGAGATTTATCTGGAATCACTGTATAGTTGTTAACTGCATCCTTCAGCATTTGCAGAATGTTGGGGCCACTGTCTTGGCAAAGAAGTTTGTCCTAGCCACTCCCTCCACTGTGATCATTGGCCACAAGCACACTTTCAAAGGTTGTGTTCCTGATGAAAGCAAAGTGCAGAAGATCCACAACTGGCCCAAGTGCCGCAACCTGACACAGGTTCACAGTTTCCTCAGTGTCTGCAGTGTGCTCCGCATCTTCATCAAAGACTTTGCCAAGATCATGTGGCCACTGGTCACACTCACATGGAAAGACATACTGTTTACATGGAACAAGCTGCAATGTGCTGCCATGCAATGACTCAAGGATGAAATTGTAAAGTCCCCTGCACTGCAGCATGAGTGCAGTTGCAAAGTAATTTTAGCAGTTGACACTTTGGTCATCACAGTTGGCTGCATCTTTTATCAGCTTGGCAAAGATGGAAAACAATATCCTAGTTGCTTCAGTTCCATTACCCTCAATGAAGTGGAAAGCCATTACTCCCAGGCTAAGCTTGAGTTGTACAGCCTCTTCCATGCAGTATGCACATACATCTTCAGTCTCACTAACTTCACTGTGGAGGTAGACATGAAGGATATCAAGGGCATGATAAATAACCCAGATCTAGAGCCTAATGCGATGATCAATCACTGGATCACTGGCATCCTCCTCTTTTCATTCAACCTTGTGCACATTCCCATGGATAGGCATGCCAGCCCTGATGGCTTGTCCCACTGCCCACAGTTGAAACTCAACCTGCCCAAGGATGACAACCACAAGGATTGGCTGGACCATTTTTACTCTTTCTCTACAGAGGCTGTCAATGACTGCCTGCCCCCTACATCTCTTTCCAATCAAGATCATCATTCCTTACCACCAACCACTTACCATCAGGTGAGCCTCCCACTGCCTGCATCCTTCTATCTCACATTCTGTGTGACTGCCCATGCTGATAACCCTTCAGATACCCCTGATGACCCTGCCATCCTGCAGTCCATGAAAGTTCAGGCATGAGAGGCAAAGATAGAAATGATCCATGCATTCCTCATGACCCATGAGCAACCTCCTGACCTTAATGATGTGCAGTACTCATCTGTCTTTAATTCAGCCAGCCACTTCTTCCTCCTAGATGGAAACTTATGGTGTAGGGAACCACATGGGTGGCACCAGCTAGTCATCAATGATTCCAAGTGATATCATCTCATCAAAGAAGCACATGATGACCTTGGACACAAAGGTGTCTTTACCTAATTGCCTGGTGTGTGTGCCAGTTGCAGAAGCATCAGGATGACCTAGACCAGGTCTGCAATAACATCCTCCACATGCATTTCCAGTTTGTCCAGCAGTTTGAAACTGCCTTTCAGCATCACATTAAAGACCATAACTTCACTCCTGGCACCCTTATCCTTGTTCACCACTGCCATGTAGAGAAGGAACTGATCTGGAAGATGACACTGCAGTACACTGGTCCCATGGTCATCCTTTGTCAGACCACTGGGGGCTTGTACCTGCTGGCTGAGTTGGATGGCTCCATCTCCAAACTCCACTTCACTACATTCTGCCTACTTCCATACCACCCACAGTTGCAAACCCACACAACCATGACTCACATTACTGGGTTAGATGATGAAGAACTAGACTGCCTTGTTGAGGAGACTGAGGATGACCCCACTGATGATGAGGTAGAGACTTTTGCCTCAGACAGCTGACTATCCACCTTTTCCAGTACCCACAGTCTGTTCATCACACCCTCCCTTCATACCCTCTTCTCCCATGATACCCCCACCTCCTTCTGCAGCTTCAACCACCTCTCCATGGCTTCTTCCCCCTCCACTACCCTCATTCTTTCTCCCATGCTGACTGGGGACAATCAGCATTCAAAGTCCCCTGCAGGGGTGACCCACATACCACTCACTCTGTCTGATACTAAACATAGTTCATTTCTCCTTATCTGTTTTACCCCAGGTTTCATCTGGAGACCTCTGTTCCACCCTGGGTTTTGTCTGGTGATCCTACTGATAGCTAGTCCTCACTCAAAAAACATACAAACTACTAACAAAAAGTCCAAAATCATCCAGAAAAATAACAAAACACCAAATAAGTATATAACTCAAACAATGTCTCTCCTATGTCTCTTACTAGTCTTACTGATGCAATCCTTGGCCACCATATACTGCTGATGCTCACAGCTACCCTGCACATTTCCTGTTCAAATGCACAGTCAGCATGTGCCCCTTGATCTGTTTTCCTTTCAGTTCTTCTTCTGTCTCCTTACAATTGATACCCAAAGACCATCCCAGTTACCCAATAAACAGTCCCTTTGCTCCCTCTTCACAAAACTGTCAAATCCTACTGTCAAGACCATACCACAAGGACATACTGCTGAGAGCAGTTGAAAGCTGCATGAAGAAGACAAGTTGGGTGGTACCCCACACACTCTACAATACCACAACTGATCCAGGGCCAGTTGCTTGCTGAGCAGACAGAAGTCCTTCACAATGCCTTACATTGCAACCATGGGGAATGGAAAAAGACTTCATATTTTCCTGTGCATCATGCACAGGGCAGAGGAGGTACAGGAATAGATGCAGGACTGGACAAGTATGCTATGCAAATGCCTACTCTACTCCCAACTTTGCCAGGGCTTCCAACAGCTGCTTGATGTGAACTTGCAAATGGAGGTTGGCCACATGTGCAGCCACAGCTTTGGCCCTGACCATCCTGAGGGCCTGCAAGATATCCATGGCAGTCTTGCCATCAAACCTGCCATGCACTGGTGCCTTGCCCTTCCTGTGGGTCTTGCCCTTGACCACTTCCATGATGTCATCACCATGAGCCCACTTGGATGGACTGGCCTTGGGGGCCTTGGTAGTGCATGTGTGTGCTGCAGCAGGTTAGCCTCAACTGTGCTGGGACAGCTTTGATACTCACCTACTGATATGCCAGCCTGCATCCTTTTCCCTGCCCCCTTGCTGGACTTCTCACAGCCCTGCTTCATCTTTGCACACCCATTGCATGTCTTGCCACTTGGCCTGATGCATGGGGTTCCCTTGATGGTGCACTGTGTGGAGTACCGACCCTGGGGGGTCAGATACCTTGGGCCTCCCATTGTCATCACTCTCAACAATCATCTGTTGAGATTTCTGTGTGGTTGCAGTGTCAATAACACTACACTGCACAAGTGTGGGTACTTAACTTGCAAGCTGGCTGTGGAACCTCCACATGGAACATCTTGACTGCTGCACCTTCATGGCCAACCTCCACCATAGCCTCCTCCATCTGAACATCCTGCCTGGCCCTTACACATTCCTCAGCTTCCTCAACAGACCACTTTTCATACAAGTCATTGGCCTCCATCAGTGCAGGAGCATCTTCTGCATCAACCCACACAGACACCCTGAGCGCCTTTCCTTGCTTGACCAGGGGCATCAGTACTGCCTGTTGCAGGTTTGTCAATGTCACACAACCAAGTCACCAAACAAACTACATACCATCTTCTCCTCCCAGCACCTCAGCTGTGTCATCTTCTCCTCCCACATGTCCTCCCAGTCATCAGGCACACACCTTGCCTCAGCCACAAGCCCTGCTGAGGCAGCTGCAAGCTGCTCTCTTAAAGAAGCCCTTTCAGCTTCCATGGGATCCAGGGTTGGCATGTGAACAAGCTGGGAGAGTTGGGGGGCATGGTTAGCAGACATGGTCAGAACTGTAGAGATGGATAGAGGGGGAGGAAAGGGTCAAATGATGTGAAGGTTTGAGCCATGCACCAACAAATATATACTTAGTGGCCATGAGGCACTTATGTCATTGGTCCAGACATTTTATGCAGCATTCAATGGTCTTCTCACATTCCTTGGCACCACACTTCCTTTGCTTCTACATGGAATCCTCCAGTGTTCTCAAACCCTCAGCACTACACCTTCACTATCACCATGCAGCAAAGCTATTTACATCCTCTGTGCCATGTGGCTGACCAGGGATGGTCAGCATCTAAGTCCCCCACAGGTGTAAGGAATCCACATTCCTTAGATGCATAAGCCCCTATCATCAACCAATCCATGACTATCATTACATCCCCAGACCACTCACATCCACTGCTGTTCACACACTGTCTTTCTGCCTACCTCACTACTGTCCCATGCCCTCACTCCTCTTGCACAATGCTATACCCATGGCCACTGTGCTCTGGTTGCAACCTTTCCTTTGGACTCTTTCTTTTACCATGGTCATTGTTCCTTTTGCACTTGTAATATACCCTTGGCCTATGTTCTGGCCTGTCTTATGTGTACACACTGTTTCACAGTTTTCCCTAGCTTGTACTCTGTCCTACTTAGGTTCTGGGTTTGCCTGGACTATAAAGCCCTGTACTTAGGTACAGAATGGGACCTTTTTGGCACTCAGAAGGTCACCATGAGTTTCTTTTCACTTTGTCTACACTGCACATCTCACATACCACCATGCACAAACTACATATACTGCTTGCATCACATGCATAGCTAGTACTACACCATGGACAACACCATGCACATCACAAATCACTACTGCTACAAAGTGCTGGGTACCACCTTCTAGTCTCAGTGGTCCAGAATCCCTTGGGACAAGCAATTTGTCCCCTTCACTTATTGTTGTTATCTAAACCATCTAGCTCATGTTATACAGCTACTTGGACTTTTCCTACACTGCCTTTGGCTTCTTCCTAGCTTCTTCTTGTGCCAGCTCAGTGGCAGTGGTAATCTTTCTAAGGGCCCAAATGGTAGCAGAATTTCTGCTTCCTTATGCAAAACATATACAAACCCACTCTGTGTGGAGTTCAGCAGACTTCTAAGTTGATACTCAGCTGTGGTCACACAGCAATTGACCTCATATGCCACTATGCCATCAAGACTATTGTTATGGTCAAGAATCACCCTATTGCTGTGAGGGATGAGAACTATTTGGACAAGGAGGATGAAGATTCCAATGCCACATCTAATATTGCTCAGAGGGTGCTAGTCATACAGCAGGTTCAGAACTATGCAGTGGTCACCACTACACTTGGGCTACACCAGGCTGCAGTCACAACACTTCAAGGTGCTACCCCAAAACCTTACCATATGCCTGCTCTTTCAGGACAGGGATGGCTAAATGAGCTGCTTAATGGGCACCTCAAGTGGATCAGAACTGAGCTTGGTGTCCACAAATGTATCTTCCTCAGGCTGATATCCATCCTTCGAGAAGGGAATCTCCAAGATTCAAAGAATGTCATGTTAGAGGAGCAGCTGGTGATTTTCCTGTACACAATGGTGACAGGCTTATCAGCTCAGCACATTGGTGATCAATTCCAATGCTCAATGGATACAATATCACAGTGAGTGCACTGTTGTTTGAATTGAAATTCTGCTAAACTTTACCCCAGGTATTTTAAACAAATGCTCCATGTGTTCTCCAAGGGTCACATTTATACCACATATGCTCACCAATCCCAAATTTTATCTGTACTTCAAGGATGCCATAGGTGCCCTTGATGGTACACACATCGTATGTGTGCCATCCACAAGTGAATGAGACCTTATGTGCAACCACAGGGGCTTCTTATCTCAAAACTGTCTCATTGCATGTTCATTTGATGGTATCATTACATACATTCTCAGAGGCTGGGAAGGGTTGGCTGCTGATGCCACAGTCTACCACAATACCCACTTGCAGGACTTTGCTATTCCTGATGGGTGGTATTACCTTGCTGTGTGGGGTATCCATCAACTCCACAGCTACTCATACTGTACTGCAGCCAACACTATCATTTGGCTGAGTGGGGGCAAGCCAACCTACGGTAAGTACCATTACATTTTTATGTGCATTTGATTCTCATTCTTTCCCTGCAGGCCAAGGGGTGGCAAAGAGCTTTTCAACCTTTGCCACACCATGCTTCAAAACAACATCAAGTGTAACTTCAGAGTTATAAAGTGACATTTTTGAACCCTCATTCTCCTACCTGAATATGACATGGCAATCCAGTCCCACTTGCCTGTGGCAGTGTGCTGTGTTCACAATATCATCCACTTCCATGATCCTGACAATGTTGACATGTCAGATCCATCAGGATCTGATGAAGACAATGGGCCACTTTTAACATCTGAAGAAACAGACATCAGAAGCTTGCAAGATACTCCATTGAACTCTGAGTCATGTACAGTGAGGGACAAAAGTGTTGCAATGTTTGTGAGGTGTGACTTGCTGCCAATGTAGCTCAGGCTATTCTGCACAGATGATCATAATACCTATACCATTGGAAAGGGGTGGCTCTAAGCTTGCCAGAGCACTAAGGTTCAGTCCAAACAAATCAATATATGCTGAGATACACCCTATTGATCATATGGTTTGTTATGTAATCATATTTTCCCATCCTTCATGCCCTCAATCCCATCAAAAGGTCACTTTTCACTATTTCACCAGTCAGGGACAAAAGCATTGCAATGCACCTTTTGAAAAGAATAGGGTGTATCTCAGCATATATTGATTTGTTTGGACTGAACCTTAGTGCGCTGGCAAGCTTAGAGCCACCCCTTTCCAATGGTATAAGTATTATGATCATCTGTGCAGAATAGCCTGAGCTACATTGGCAGCAAGTCACACCTCACAAACATTGCAACACTTTTGTCCCTCACTGTAGTTGGATGAATGCCATGTGTGATGCAATTGCAGCACAAATGTGGGAAGATTATTGCACTGAGCTCACAAGAAGGGGTTGATTTGGTAGTTCAGTAGCTAGTTTTGCATTCTACCCATGTATCCACTACATTGCAATTATCAGCAAATGTCCTATCTGCCCTCAATTTTTGCACTTGCATGGCAACTTTGAACAGTGGTGATTGTGGTATAATTGCACAAGTACAGATGAACTATTTATTTCCCCCCCAAATTCACATATTCTGGAACCTTGTAGCCAGTGGCCTCAAGCCTCATCTTAACCCACAACATTTGGTATGTTGCTGACTAAGCAGCAGCATTCTTGTAACCCATGACATAGGAGGATTTCCCTTCAAATAACATTTGCAAGTGGACCAGGTTCTGCTCCAAAAGGTTCTTCTCAAGCTCAAACATCAATGCACATGCTTCATTGAGACTTTGGCCCTTGGGATTGTTGAGAGCAGCAAGCATCTTAGAGGTACTGTCTTGCACACTGGACATTAGATCCTGCACCACATCTTCAAGGCCAGCCATCTGCAAGTGCCACTTCTGAGAACTGCTAGAGCTTCCCATGGAAGCTGCTGTGGATGTGGTGTTGAGCTTGGCAGTGGCATCGCTTTTGTGCTTCTTGCCATGAGACAACAAACTAGATGACAGATTGATGGACATGCTTACTGATGTCATTGTGGAAGATGGCAGTGATGTAGGAATGGATGAAGGGGAAACTGTGGGGCCAGGCAGGGATACAGGTGGCACACTGGACAGGGCCTGTGAAACACCCTGTGGTACAGGTGTACCTTGAACATTTACAGTGTGCTGCACACTCCAAGGAGTCTGCATGATTTGATGTTGATTGGGAAACCTGGATTGATCCTGCATGAAGGTAAACTTTGCAGTGGGTTGCACAGGTGGTGGCCAATACTGCATGTCAGGTTGTGTGAATGGTAGCTGATGCTGCACAGCAGGCTGCAGGAATGATTGTTGTGTGGGGGGCTGCATAGATGCAGGCTGAGGTGATATGACAGGGTGTGTGAGGGAGCCAGGAAAATTGGATGATGTGGAAGTAGAAGCCCAGGACCTTTGGGCAGGGGGTTGGACACTGGCAGCATGGTGTGCATTGATGCCCCTTGCCTTGTCAGGAAGGGCAAGGTCTCACATATGATTGAAGTATTTGAAGCCTGTGTTTTGGTACTGGGCAGTATCTGGCCAATTCTAGGGGAAGGACAAGGATTTTTGCACCACACCAGGAAAAAATCTCAGACATACCTTGACAACATCATCCATCATGAGCTGCCCTGCCTCAGTTATGACATCAGCACCTTTTGCTGCTGAATATGCAAGTCCCAATCCCCTTGCAACAGCTGAAGCTGCATAGTTGTCCCATTTCAGCTTTGTATGAGATGAGTGATACTGAATGCTGAGGCTCAGAGCTCAAACTGACTGACAGGGTCTTTCCTTTTGACCCAAGAACTGCTACCTTCCATCTTCCTATGAAGTTGATGTGAGTGGCAGGTTGGGGACATGGAATGGTCTAGCCTGCAATAATGGTCAGCTTGTCAAGATGGCATATCATACTATGCATATGTGGGTAGCTGTGATTCATCACCTGATCGGTGAACACCACAGTCACAGATAGTCTGCAGTTATCAACTTCAAAGTCTGCTGAACTCTGCACAGAGTTGGTTTGTATATGTTTTGCATAAGGAAGCAGAAATTCTGCTACCATTTGGGCCCTAAGAAGACTGCTCTTTGGGTTGGTCTTCTTGGCTTCTTTGACAAGTTTTCCTAGTGCCATTATGAAATGAGCATGTATTGTTTCATCTTTGGGTTCTTCACAGTCCATGAACTTGTTTATCCCTTTCTTTTCAACAGGGGATACAAGGTTCACAGTGGGTTCTTTGACAGCAATGGAGGAGCTGTTGTGGGACAGTTCCTTTGATCTGTTGGTCTTCTCATCAATAGAGAGGGTTCCCACTCTCCAGTCAATGATAGGGTTGTTTTCTTGTAGCCAAGGGAGGCCAAGAATCACATT